CCCAGCAGTCCACCAACCAGAGCCGCAATCCTGCCACCACCAACCAGACGGAGTTTGAGCGCGTCTTCTGAAGGCTGGCGCTGCCACTAGGGCTGCTGTATTCTGCTATGTGACTTGCGTCATGGAGACGGTGGGGCATTTGAGTTTCTGTCTCTCATGCATATTTTATTTAATCCCCACCCTGGGCTCTGGGAGCAGCCCGTTGAGTGGACTGGAGTGGAGCATTGGCTGAAAGACCTGGAGGGCACCAGGGCTCTCCCATCTTGCTCCCTGGCCTTCTGGAAGGTGCCCAGAGGGTGGGAGGAAGAGCTCACCCACCAGTGACTTTTTCTAAGAGCTCCCAGCATGATGGAAGAGGGGACAGGTCCTTCACCCATCCCCAGTCCTATTCTCTGGCTGTGAACTCTGGGGACAGGGCTGGCCTCAGGAGTGGGCTGTTTTTGGCCTTGCCCTCAGAAGCTGTGGCTGGCACAAACTCGGTTTCTTCATCAGGAGAATTTGATCATGTTTCTTTGGTTCCGTTGTTTGGAGACATTCCTGGACACAGTTTGTTCAGTTAGAATTAAAAGTTGAGGTTTTTTTTCCTCAGGAGTTGCTGTGTGTTCTGTTCTGTGCTCACGCCACCAGCTCTTGGGCCTGACCATTGGGGCATGATTGTCAAGTCACTGGAGGTCTTGACTCTTTGTCTCTCAGTTTATGTTCCCGTACACAATTGCGAAGGACCTTTGTCTGTTTTTCCTTTTGGGTGCCTTCCAGAACACATCTCAGGTCCCTGGTGAGGGAATTCTGGCAAGGGCCTGCTGTGAGCTGTGACTGCAGTGGCGACCCAGGAGGGCAAATGACTGGAGTGACAATTGGACCTGTCACCTGAGAAGGATGGTTCCTCGGACTGCTGGGTAGAGGGGACTGGGGCAGGCTGGAGAGAGGAAGTGGGCAGAGGGTGGAGGGATTGCAGGTGTCTTGGAAGGTGGGAGTAGTTTTGTACCAGGGTGGAGTGGGTGGGAGAAACAGACTGAAGGTAGAATCCCTGGAACCCTTTGAGGAGCAGTACATTCTGGCGGGCACATTTTCTGTAAGCCTGAAGTTGGAGAGAGGCATTTGGGAGATAGTTTCATATACCCTGTTACAGGTAGAGACCTTGAATAGGGGCCAAGAAGGAAGGTGGGCAAAACTTTTGACTAGAACTGTCCTTAACTACAGAAACTGACCCAGACCACAACAGAAAAGACCAGTGAAAGTAAGAAAAATTCTTTTTTTTGAGACAGAATCTCACTCTGTTGCCCAGGCTGGAGTGCAATGGTGCAATCTTGGCTCACTGCATCCTCTGCCTGCAAGTGATTCTCCTGCCTCAGCCTCCTGAGTAGCTGGATTACAGGTACCTGTCACTATCCCCAGCTAATTTTTGTATTTTTAGCAGAGACAGTTTCGCTGTCTTGGCCAGGCTGGTCTCAAACTCGTGACCTCAGGTGATCCTCCTACCTCAGCCCCCTAAAGTGCTGGGATTACATGCATGAGCTACTGTGTCCAGCCAAGGGAAAAAGTTCTTGACTTGGTGTGTTTTCCTGAAACTTGTATGACAAATTGCTAGAAGTATGCTAGTTTAAAGTAACACATTGATTCTTTAAGTTCTCAGAGTCATTGGTGTCCGAGTTGGTTCCTTCTGGAGGCTCTGAGGGAGAGAGAATCCTTCCGTAACTCCTGCTGGCTGCTGGCAGTCCTCCCATCCCTTAGGCTTGTAGATGGGTCACTCATGTCTTTGCCTGTGTTCACATGGCATTCTTTCTTCTATGTGTCTTGTCTGGTTTTTTTTTTTGAGACAGCGTTTTGCTCTTGTTGCCCAGGCTGGAGTGCAATAGCATGATCTTGGCTCACTGCAGCCTCTGCCTCCTGGGTTCAGGTGATTCTCCTGCCTCAACCTCCTGAGTAGCTGAGATTATAGGCACCTGTTACCATGCCCAGCTAATTTTTGTATTTTAGTGGAGATGGGGTTTCACTATCTTTGCTAGGCTGGTCTTGAACTCTTGACCTCGGGTGATCTACCCACCTTGGCCTGCCAAAGTGCTGGGATTACAGGTGTTAGCCACCATGCCCAGCCTGTGTGTCTGTGTTATGTGGACACCAGTCTGGATTTAGGGGCCACCCTGACCCAGTGTGACCTCATCTTAATTACCTCTGCAAAGATCCTCTTTCCAAATAAGGTCACATTCTGAGGTTTGGAGGGGACATGAATTCAAGGGGGCACATTTCAACCTTTCACCCAGTATAACCAGTAGTTAAATGCCTGTAATTCCAGCTACTCAGGAGGCTGAGGTGGGAGAATCGCTTGAACCCAGGGTAACATTTCAACCCAGTATAACCAGTAGTTAAAGAAATCCATATTGGCCAGGCGCAGTGGCTCGCTCCTGCAATCCCAGCACTTTGTGAGGCCAAGGCAGATGGATCAGAGGTCAGGAGTTCAAGACCAGCCTGGGCGACATAGTGAAACCCCGTCTCTACTAAAAATACAAAAATTAGCCAGGCATGGTGGTGAATGCCTGTAATTCCAGCTACTCAGGAGGCTGAGGTGGGAGAATCGCTTGAACCCAGGAGGCAGAGTTGCAGTGAGCTGAGATGGCACCACTGTATTTCAGCCTTGGCGGCAGAGCAAGACTTTTTATTTAAAAAAAAAAAAAAAAAGAAAATCAAATTATAGCTCTTGTGAGATGTCCAGACAGCAGTCAGCAGGATTTGAATGTGGGAAAACTCACAGGGCTGGCCTAAATATATTCTTTGAAGGATAAAAAGCTCTGAAAGGTTTATATTCTTTGACTCAGCAATTCCACTTACAGGAATTTTTTACGAGCAGTTATAGAATGATAATCTCATTGAACCCTCACTGCAGTTTCGACGGTCTCATTCGTTCATTGGGTATATTTGTTAGGTGCGTCTTCCAAGGGCCTGTTCCGGACTTAATATAGCTGGAAACTGGTGGCCCTGGTGACCCACCCCCACCCCAGTGGAGCTCACCTTTCAGTAGGTCCAAACTGGTTTGATTGAGTTCCATGGAAAACAACAAAGTAGGGTAAGAGGGAAAAGTAGGGGGGCAGATGAGGGAGTCAGCAAGTTACAGACGCAGAAATCGAGAAACGGCTTTGTGGGGCGGGGATGTGGGCACAAGGCTGGGAAACCTTTGGGGAGCTTTGTACAGTGTGTGGTTCTTTATGTTTCTTGGTGTTTCCTTATAGTTAACTAATACATTCGCTCACGCAATTTAGCTAGTCTTGACATTTTTTTTAAGTTAAAAATATAGCCGGACACGGTGGCTCACGCCTGTAATCCAGCACTTTGGGAGGCTGAGGTGGGTGGATCATGGGGTTAGAAGTTTGAGACCAGCCTGACCAACATGGTAAAACCCCGTCTCTACTAAAAATACAAAAGAAAATTAGCTGGGCATGGTGGCACGTGGCTGTAGTCCCAGCTACTTAGGAGGCTGAGGCAGGACAATTGCTTGAACCCAGGAGGTGGAGGTTGCAGCTAGCCTCGATTTTTCCACTGTACTCAAGGGATTCTTCCACGTTGGCCTCCCAAAGTGCCAGGATTACAGGTGTGAGCCACTACACCCACCCAATTAAGCTACATTTTAAAACAACCAAGACAGGCCCTAAACCCTGGAACTGCTGACCCAAGCTCACCCCCACCTTTCTCTTCCCCACAGTCTACCCCAGGGAAGAACGGGGACTTGCCAGTCAGGTGTGGGTTCTCTAGCTCTGGGCTCAAGCTCTGGTGTGACATGGATGCTGTTTCCACCTGTAGAGGGAGGTATGTGGCCTGGAATAAAGGCTCCCAGAGGGCAGGGCCTTGTGGGGCTCTTATCATGTTCCCAGCACCTAGATAGTGCCTGGCACCTCTAAGTCTCAGATACACTGGAGTGAGTACGGTGAACAGATGGCCGAGGAGGCCGTGCAGACGGGAAAGGAAAGGCCTTTGCCAGCTTATGGGGATGAGCTTGGGATGTCACCCTGCAGTCCAGGAACTGGGTTCTGTGTCCTGGCTTTTTTTTTAAAGAGCCTGGAGTTAGGCTGGGTGCAGGGGCTCACGCCTGTAATTTCAGCACTTTGGGAGGCCGAGGTGGGTGGATCACGAGGTCAGGAGTTGGATCTGGCCAAGATGATGAAACCCCATCTCTACTAAAAATATAAAAATTAGCCAGGCGCGGTAGTGGGTACCTGTAATCCCAGCTACTTGGGATGCCGAGGCAGGAGTATCGCTTGAACCCAGAGACAGGTTGCAGTGAGCCGAGATGGTGCCACTGCACTCCAGCCTGCGCAACAAGAGCGAAACCCTGTCTCAAAAAAAAAAAACTAGAGTCACATCCTGGTTTCCCTTTTTGTTGTTGTTAAAATGGTGGTTTTATATTCACTTTTACTTAAACCAGCCGAAGTAGTACTGATGTGATTATAATGCAGCCAATACAAGACCTCTTTCCACAAACATTAGCATAACCATCAAAATAGGGACTTGAGTAAAACAGCCAAAAAGGGCTGAGGAAATCAATTAAATATGTTACAGAGTAACCCTTCACCTCAATAGAGTTTTAACTTAATATATTATTTTTTGAGACAGAGTCTAGCTGTCTCCCAGGGTGGATTGCAGCGATGAGATCTTGGGTCACTGCAACCTCCACCTCCTGGGGTCAAGCAATTCTCCTGCCTCAGCCTCCAGAATAGCTGGGATTACAGACGAACGCTGCCACACCCAGCTCCCTGGCTTTTTTTGACCAAGTGATTTGGTGAAACACCTCTTCCTCCGTAAATCAAGGGCGTCCCATGTCCATGCTGTTCTTTGTGTACCCCTCTCCCAGCTAGGAGCTCGCCCTGGCAGGGCAAAGGCAAAACGGGCCCTAACTGTAAGGGGGGTGGGCTGGGATAAGGAGACCTGGAAGAGGCCAGATAAAGCCAGCCCCAAGGCCTGGAAGCTTCGCAAGCATAGCCCCCTCCCAAGCGTTAGTCCCCTCCCCTTCCACCTGCCTGCCTGTCCCCGTGCTTAGCTTTAATCTCCACCCAGTTGTTGTTTAACTCATTGTGAAGTTCTGACCAGTCCCACGCTCCCCTCCAGAAACTTGCCACAGAGGATGAGAAAACCCTGGGGTTTCCTAGGATGAGGGCAGGAACCTATCAGGTAAAACGTTTCTCCCTGCACACTGGAGAGGCCAGAGCTTCTGCCCCCCGTCCCGTCAGCGGAGGGGAGGCCTTGACCTCTCCACAAGTCACGTTCTCTGATTCAGCAAGCCTCACAGCTCCAGCTAGATCCTGGCCAGAGCTGGCTTGGCAGAGGTGACTTGTGCGTCACTTCATGTCCTACCCAGAAGGGGAGCGGGAAACCCGAGGGATGAAAGGTGCCAGGTCCCTGGCTGCCTCGCTGCCAATGGCTGAGAAGTTCTGGTGGAAAGGAACCATGGAGGGCCCATCCGGACATTCTTCCTCAGCAAAAACCGCCTCCTTTCAGGTAGGAGAACCCGGTGACCTCGGGCAGGTGACCTTGACTCTCTAAGCCTCAGTTTCTTGGGGGTGATGCTGCCAGCACCTCCCTCACAGGGCTTAGCAGCCAGCATGCTTGGAAGGTGAGAATAAATCGAAAAAATATTCCACATTTTTTTCCTCTGAAAATTGCTATGAAGGCCAGACATGGTGGCTCACATCTGTAATCCCAGCACTTTGGGAGGCTGAGGCGGATGAATTAAAAGATCAGGAGTTTGAGAGCAGCCTGGCCAAGATGGCGAAACCCCATCTCTACTAAAAATACAAAATTAGTTGGGCTCGATGACGGACGTCTGAAGTTGAGACACATTAAGTTTACTCTGCCCTCATGGCTCCTTCAGTGGAGGATATCTTTTAGTTTGTAATTAGTGGTAGGTGGGTAACAGCTGCCTACTTGGTATATTCTTTAGTTATATGTAAATATAGCTCACCTGGGTATTAATAAGAATCACCTGTCTAAGAGCAAATAAAGAAGTGAAATGAGAATCTGCTCCGGGCCTTTAGCCCCACGGGATTCCAGGCTGTTGTGCTATCTGGGTGTCTGCCTCTCAGATACCTTCGGCGCAGCCTGGGTGGGGGGTCTCGACCAAGCTCGTTCTTGGTATGTAATCCCAGCTACTAGGGAGGCTGAGGCAGGAGAATTGCTTGAACTTGGGAGGCAGAAGTTGCAGAGCCAAGATTGCACCACTGCACTCCAGCATGGGCGACAGAGCAAGACTACATCTCAAAAAAGGAAAAAAAATTAGCCAGGCATGGTGGCACATGTCTGTAATCCCAACTACTCTGGAGGATGAGGCAGGAAAATCTCTTGAACCCGGGATGTGGAGGTTGCAGTGAGCCAAGATCAGGCCCCTGCACTCCAGCCAGGCAACAGAGTGAGACTACATCTCAAAAAAAAAATCTCCTCTTTCTCCCAAAGAGGAGACTGAGGGTCAGATAGGATCAGAGAGGGGAGGTGACTTACCCATGGTCACACAGCACTTCAACAGTGGAGATGGCCAGACAAGTGGTGGTGAGGTGCAAGGACCAACATTAAAGTCAGTAATCAGGGTTTGAGTTGGCTCTGCTGCATCCACATGCCTGCTGTATCACCCTGGGTGAGTTGAGCCTCCATTTTTCCACCTATAAAATAGTGATCATCTCTATTTCACACAATTTCCATGAGATTTCAGGTGCCAAACAGAGGGATAAGTGCTTAATAAATGTTTGTTTTGAGACAGCATCTTAACTCTGTTGCTCTGTTGCCCAGGCTGGAGTGCAGTGGTGCGATCTCAGCTCACTGCAACCTCCGCCTCCCTGGTTCAAGGGATTCTCCTGCCTCAGCCTCCTACGTAGTGGGACCACAGGAGTGTGCCACCACACCTAGCTAATTGTTTCACCATGTTGGCCAGGCTGGTCTCAAACTCCTGGCCTCAAGCGATCCACCCACTTTGCCTTCCCAAAGTGCTGGGATTACAGGCATGAGCCACTGCTCCCAGCCAAGTGCTTAATAAATGTTAACAAAAAACAACCTTCCCAAAAAGAAGGAAAGAGGACAAACAGAGGGCATGGGTGTTTCAGCAGAAGCAAACATTGTGAGCAAAAGCTTGCAGGTTCGAGAGGCCAAGGCCAAGGCCAGTTGCCAAAGTCCTTGCCAGCTGGCAGGGACTGTGTCTTGTACGTGGGGGATGAGTCAGGAGGCAGGCAGGGACCAGCCGCAGTGAACTTGTGGGTTTTTAATCCCAAATGCATGACAGGGCAGGAGAGAGTGTAGTAACCCAGGCAGATCTGAGTTTAGAAAGACCTGACCCACTGTGAGGCCCCAGCTGTGTCTACCCTCTCTGAACCTCAGCCTGCATTCCACAGTGGATACCCTCTGTGACCTGACGAGGGTTTGTAAATCTGTATATTCCTTTTTGAATTTCTTTCTTTGCTGCCTTCTCACCCCCAGGACTGGGTGCTCTGTGAGCAGTATCTTGTCTTCTGTTCCCCACAGTGACCCCAGCATCTAGCCCAGGTTCTGGCAGAGATAATTTCTCCCCAGTGAATAAATGAATGAATGACATCGTTTCCCTGTGGGAAGGTGGGGTTATGGCAGAGTTCCTCAGCCAGCTCCTACCCCAGCCTCTCCTTCCCTCCACGCGCACCTGCAGATCTTCCCGCATGAGTGGGCGCCGGCCCATTTACTGGTTCCCCGTCTCCCTTTGTTTTCTCTTCTCTCCGACAATGGCTGTGTTTCTGTTGTTCTTGGAGAGAGAGAAAGCAATGCCATCTCGGACACCAAAAGGCCAGCCGCAGTTCCCTCTCCAGGTGTATGATGAAGATGCCTTGGATTTTTCCCTTTACACTTTCCTCTAGTTGCTTCTATAAATATTTGTGGCTTTTAAAATAAAAAGCCACAAAGGAGATGAGTGGGCTGTAAGGGAAACACGACAGCTTTTTTTTTGGAGACAGTACTTGCTCTGTTGCCCAGGCTGAAGTGCAGTGGCTTGATCTCAGCTCACTGCAAACTCCATCTTCTGGGTTCAAGTGATTCTCCTGCCTCACCCTCCTGAGCAGCTGGGATTACAGGCATGGGCCACCATGCCCGGCTAATTTTTGTATCCGTAGTAGAGACGGGGGCTTCACCATGTTGGTCAGGCTGGTCTTGAATTCCTGACCTCATGATCCACCCACTTTGGCCTTCCAAAGAGCTGGGTTACAGGCATGAGCCACCCTGCCTGGCCAACTTTTTTTTTTTTTTGAGATGGAGTCTTGCTCTGTCCCCCACGATAGAGTGCAGTGGTACGATCTTGGCTCTCTGCAGCCTCCACCTCCCAAGTTCAAGTAATTCTCGTACCTCAGCCTCCCAAGTAACTGGGATTACAGGCAGGTGCTACCACACCCAGTTAACTTTTGTATTTTTATAGAGACGGGGTTTCACCACGTTGGCTGATCTTGAACCTTTTCCACCCACCTTGGCCTCCCAAAGTGCTGGGATTATAGGCATGAGCCACCATGCCCAGCCACAAACCAGCTGTTAAACACACAAAAAAGAGCTCGGCCTCCTTAATAATAAAATAAATGCAGACCAGGCGCGGTGGCTCACGCCTATAATCCCAGCACTTTGGGAGGCCGAGGCAGGTGGATCACGAGGTCAAGAGATCGAGACCATCCTGGTCAACAAGGTGAAACCCCATCTCTACTAAAAATACAAAAATTAGCTGGGCATGGTGGTGCACGCCTGTAGTCCCAGCTACTCGGGAGGCTGAGGCAGAATTGCTTGAACCCAGGAGGTGGAGGTTGTGGTGAGCCGAGATCGTGCCATTGCACTCCAGTCTGGGTAACAACAGCGAAACTACGTCTCAAAAAATAAATAAATAAATAAAATAAATACAAATGTAACTACTTGGAGAATCCACCATACAATTGGCAGGGATCAAAGCTGGCTGTGTTGCTGAAGATGTGAGGAAATGCTGGCTAAAGTGGGGGACACTGGTACCCACCCCTCTGGGGGACAATGTGACCATCTGTATAAAAATGTCAACTAGATGTGGTGTCCCACGCCTGTAATCCCAACATTTTGGGAGGCTGAGGTGGGCGGATCCTGAGGTCAGGAGTTTGAGACCAGCCTGGCCAACATGGTGAAACACTATCTCTACTAAAAAATACAAAAATTAGCCAGGCGTGGTGGTGTGCACCTGTGATCTCAGCTACTTGAGAGGCTGAAGCAGGTGAATTGCTTGAGCCTGGAAGGTGGAGGTTGCAGTGAGCTGAGATTACACCACTGCACTCGGCTTGGGTGACAGAACGAGGCTCCGTCTTGGAAAAAAAAAATGTCAAGTGCAGGTCACCTTTGATCCAGCAATTGCATTTCTTGGAATTTATCCATGGGATATGCCACACGAGGAGGAAATGATGAAGGTAAAATGTTATCCACTGCTTGTGATAGCAACATATTGGAAACCACCCAAATGTCCATCAGTAGGCAGCTGGCCAAATACACAGTAACACTTCCACACCATGGAGTACTATGCAGCTTCAAAACAACGGAGTGGCCCTTATGTACTGACACAGCCCGGAATAGGCCCTGGATAAAAAGGGGCACAGAGAAAGTACTAGGCAGGCTTGCCTCACAGTCTGCTGCGATCTGTGGGTATAAAAGGGAAAGCAATATATATTTGTATTTGCTTGTAAATGTATAACCTATCTCTGGAAAGATAAGAAACTGATAACATTGACTGCTTTGAGGAAGGAGGATTAAGGTGCTGGAATCTGGGCTCCCAGGGAGGGAGACATTTTGCTGTACACTGTTTTGACCCGTAAACTATTTGTTGTTTTTTGTTTTCTTTGTTTGGAGATTGAGTCTTGCTTTTTTGGCCAGGCTGGAGTGAGGCGATGCAATCTTCTGCCTCCCAGGTTCAAGTGATTCTTGTGCCTCAATCTCCCTCAAAGTAGCTGAGACTACGGGCGCACATCACCAAGCTTGGCTAATTTTTGTATTTTTAGGAGACACGGGGTTTCATCATGTTGCCCAGGCTGTCCTTGAACTCCTTACCTCAAGTGATCCACCCGCCTCGGCCTCCCAAAGTGCTGTTATTACAGGTGTGAGCCACTGTGCCCAGCCAATCTTTTAACCATTTGAATGGTATGATATCCAAAAAAATCAGAATTTAAAATGAAAACGTAAGAAAAGGCTAGGCGCAATGGCTCAAGCCTGTAATCCCAGCACTTTGGGAGGCCGAGATGGGTGGATCACCAGGTCAACAGATCAAGACCATCCTGGTCAACATGGTGAAACCCCGTCTCTACTAAAAATACAGAAAATTAGCTGGGCATGGTGGTGTGTGCCTATATTCCCAGCTACTCGGGAGGCTGAGGCAGGAGAATTGCCTGAACCCAGGAGGCGGAGGTTGCGGTGAGCCGAGATCACGCCATTGTACTCCAGCCTGGGTAACGAGCGAAACTCCGTCTTAAAAAAAAAAAGAAAAGGGAAAAAGCGTTCCCCCA